AATTATGTTGCAGAAGGGTTTAACTGCTTCTCTTCTCTAGAAAATTTGATGAAAGAGAAAGAGCTTGATTTGAGTTGGCATTCTGAAGAATTGTCCTGTTTAATATATTGATTGGGAATTAGGTTATGTTTCAGATGCGGGAACCACGTTATATTTGCTGGAATCGACGAACATAAATTATTTACAGAAGTATAAATTGAAACTTTCCGTTGGCATCGAAAAGCGGAATATCCTTTGAGTTAAAATTCTATGGATTGGCTCCAAAACGAAGTTGGTATGATCCTTCCTAAACAGTATTTATAATAAAATATTTATAAACTATACATATATAATTAATTGTAATATATATTTCCAATACTTCTAAATTTGATATCAAATTTTTTTAAAAATGTTATCAAATAATTATTTTTCCTATAAATTTTAAATAATAACAGAATTCATCTAAAACGATTCACAATGCGTATAAATCAGGAAGAATGAGTAATTATGAACAGTGTTTCCACCAGTGATATTTCTCTTCTTCTTTTCTAAAATTTGCTTTCTTTCCCTGATTTTATCTTGAAATTTCCCCGCATTTTTTTTCCTATAAAAAAATTTTGTTATCTTAGATTTTATCATCAAAAGAATATGTCACATTTAAATTCTATTATTTTAATAAAGGAATTTCGGAAATTTTATATTTAAGGCACTTACATTTTATTTTTTTATAATTAATTTTAATGTTGTTATCAGGTTAAACAAGTGTTATTTTAATTTAGAATAAAGAAACAGATTATTCATAGTGTTCAATAAAATTGATTAAAAATATATTTTTAACAATAATAAGACAAATGGAAAGAAATATTTCTTAAAAGTTACAGAACAATCAATGTTTTGCTGTTAATTAGATTTTGTGATCGATTTTCACTATCTATTACTGACAGTTGTAATATATCAGAACACGACCATTTATAACGGATGAGTACATAACTTTAGAAATAAAAAAAACACAAAAGTAACACAAAATGTCCATGTAAATATTTATTTTATCTGATCTTGTTTATACTAATTATAAATTTTTACATGTTTCGTTAATTTTCATTACAAATTGAGCTAGCATGTCTGTATACATATCTTCACACGTCTTCGCGTTTTAATAACGTTTTTAAAGACAGAAATGCTGAAAATACTAGTTCAGTTTATAATTAGAATTAATGAAACAGAAAATGTATAATTCTGAAACAAAGTCAGATAGAACAAATGTTTATATGAACTTTTTACGTTATTTTTATGTCCTAAATAAATTTCTATAGCTATTCCACATGTAAAATAAAATACCTTATATAATACTAGCTTATATTGCTTGTGTGTAGAACGTCTTTATTCTTATGTACAAAAAAATTAATAAATTCATTAGATGTTTACATAAACAATGAAATTAAAAATAATGTAATAAATTCGTTAGTTTTTGTAATTTTTATTAAGATGTGTGATATACACATCAAACCTCTATTTCGTATTCACAATTCATATATAGTAAGACATCTTATACTTAAGGAGCTAATAATCTAGCATTATTATATAAACCGTATTCCAATCAACACTGTCAGCATTAAAAATCTAGTATATGTAAACGAACTACAGATTTTTAATATTAATATATATCGGAACATGGGATGCGGATGTTTATGTTCTTATCTCTGTATTGATAATTGTTAGCACAACACTAGCACAACACTAAATTAATTGATTAAAAAATTTGCGCTTTTTATTTAAAAAATAATAATTTTTTTATTATTTTCCGCTTTTTGGGGATTTTTCCTCGTTTTTTTCTTTTTTTCTTTTTCTTCCTTCAAGTGTTCAAAAATTTCCCGCAAAAGAAAATTTTCTCTCAAAGTGGAAACATTGATCGTGGACACGCACATAATATAGCCATTTATAAATAAAATGAAAATGAGAAAAGAAAGAAAAAATATTACATTACTGAATTTAAAAAGTATTTACAATTTCGTTGCTAAACTGTTCTCTGTTCTGGGCAACTGTATATGCAATGACGCAAGATAAGGCCAAAATGAGAGCAAATAGCTTCATCTTCAATATTAATAAAAAAAAATAGAGAACAGATTATAAGAGCACCGATAAGTGAAATATGACTGTCAAACGGAAGACGGTTAACTGCTTAAATAAGGCTTCGGATCTTTAGCATACGTCATTCTCACAGACATCAACGCCTTATTATTTTTACACGTGTTTTTTGTCATAAAAGCAAACAGCTGCTGCATTCAGTGCAGCACGACAATTGAGGGATTCCCGTGACATTTTTGTGACCTCCCCCCGTTTTAATTACGTAGTCTGTATCACACTTTTATTACTTTTCTTATCTCTCTGTTATGATAATATACATGCATAAGCGTGTATTCATATGGCTTTACATTTATGATATTTTTGTTTTTGAATTTTTGCATATGTTTGAAGGTTTGTACATTTTTGAAAGTTTTGCATAAGTTTGAAAGTTTGCACATTTTTCAAGATTGTTAGCAATTAGAGAAAACCGGAAGAACCGGGAAAAATCAGGAAATCAATTTATATAAGATAAAATTAAATTATTATAATACTTCTAAATTTAAACTTTATTTTTTTAAAAATTATTAAATAGAATTTTTTAAAAAGACAAAGGGCTACGAGCCTAAAACAATTATCATAAAATAACAAATTTGTATTAAATAGTTAAAAAATAAAATAAAACATGTCATGTGTGAAATTAAAAAACATGAAATATAATTTGATCGTCAGCAAGTGAACAAACACAAACGTTTCGATTCCTGTTGGATCATTTTCAATGTGACGCAAAAATAATTATGAAAATATTACATGGATAAGATATATAAAAATTAAAATTCGCTCTCGATCGCAATATCAAATATAAATCTCGTTTCAAAATAAAATGAAAGTTATACGAAAGTTGAAATCGACAACAATGTATTCCTTCGGATTGTGTGTGTAGAATAAGGACGAACATGTTTCTGTTAGAAAGTACAAAATGTAAATATTATAAATTACCACAGGAATAAAAAATAAAAATAAAAAAGCAAAAAAAACAATCTAATATTTTAAGACATGTACATTAGAGTCATTAATGCCGATAGAGAAAGTATAAAGTATCGTCATACAATATATATATATATATATATATATATATATATATATTAAATTTAGTGATGGATAAATTGAAAATAAATACCTTTTTTTGTGTGTCAAAATGATATGTTATCTATTAGGCAATGCAATGAGAATTGAATGTGATCTCTCTAAGATGCTAAGAGATAAAGTAAAGTACATATAAAAGTAAGAAGGTTGAAAAGGTAAAATAAAGTAGAAGGAAGAGAAAGTGGAGAGAAAAGAAATGTATAGGAAAAGAATGCAGTTAAGAAGGAGAAAGAAATTGAATGATCTGTGAGTAAGTTTCAGATAAAGATTTGGTATCTTTTTGTTTATTGAGACTTTATTTCTGTCTTCTAATGTGAATCATTTCAGACACCAATCTCTTGTTATACGAAGATTTGCAGTCTAAAATTTTCATCTCGTTCCATTTAAAATTATGGTCAAAATTAATACGATGATCAATTATGACAGGAGAACCAATATTCCTCCTAATATCAGAGATATGTAATCTCGTACTCAATTTTCTTTTTGTCTGACATAACTCGCCTCACAGTCGTCACAGGAGATCTTATAAACTAATTCTAATTGGATAGGAAATCAAGCTTATCTCTTATCAAGCTTTTCCTCTTTTTATAAAACTTTTTAATGTGTTAGGAATAGAAAAGGCTAGTTTACAAACATACTACAGATAGGAAGGAAACTTTCGGAAATAGATTTAACATAAGAAATCGTAAAATATTTGTCTTTCTCATGTGAATTACGTGTAATATATTTATTATGCATATGAAACTTTAATCTTCGTTCAATTGTAGAGAAAATAAAAGAAAGAGGATAACAGTTATTTAAAAAAGTATGAATAGCATCTATCAAATTTTTTTGTATTTTAGTATTTTAGTTTTTATTTTAGTATTTTAGTATTCTGTTTTTAGTATTTTATTTTTAAAATTGTTATTTTATTATAAAGGCAATAAACTTATATATATGAAATATAATGTACTCAGTATAAAAACATCTCCTTCAAACAATAAAAAATAGAGTAAATCAATGTCTTAAAATTATATGAAAACCTTGTATATAGATATGTACTTTATCAAGTACTTTTGCTCAATCAAATAGATATATATACGTTCACTAACAATTATTTATCTAAATTGCTTAAATCTATTATTACGTTCATCGTTTAAGTAAAACATAAAAGAAGTAATTTTTACATGACAATCATACATTTTATTTAAAACATTATTCTGCTTGAATATAGGTAATAAAAATTAAGCAAAAAGACTATTAGTTATATTATATTAGAAACAGACATGTGATTAATACGTATGATTGTTGCAATTGACAGATTAAAGCACTGAGGAAAATACGTCCGAATAGTGTTACTATTTATTGCGCGAGGATTCCCCGACGCGAGAGAATGTCGCATGAACTCAACTCGAGGCACGTTCGATTTGCTGCTGGGAATTACCCGGAGCGATAAGTGACGCAACGGGACTGTAAGGAAAATTGAGTACATCCCCGGGAATCTAAAATTCGTATATAAGCAATCGGGGCAAGACGAACAAGCATCAGAAGTTGTTTCAAACTTTCAAGTAGAAACAGTTTCCTACTTTGAAAAAAGAATAGTTAATATCATCATGAAGCTGCTAGTTTTTGTGTTGGCCGTATTATGCGCTGTCACTTACACAAGCGCTGACTTGTCAGGAAAAACATCATCATCGCAATCAACCGAAGTTCTTTCATCACATGTAAGTAATCATTATATTATAAAAAAAAAATAATTTATTACTTAAATAAACTAAAGTTGAAAATTATATAAATACTTTACTTTAAACGTAGATAAATTTATAATTGAAATGATTTTTATAAATTTTTTCTTAATTTATATTTGAGTATTAAATTATCTAAATATTTAAAGACAATATTATATTTAAAATATGATTTAAATAACTATAATTTCTAAGCATTAATATTGCATCATCTAATGTCTAACGTGACAAATTGATGATACGTGACTATGCATTTATTAACGCATTGCATATTGCACACTATAATTATCTTGCATTTAGCGTAACTCACAAAAACACTTGTTACATCTGGAGTTTGTTATAAAAATTCCTGTTCACTTATCGCTATTCAGATTATGATGTTAGAATTGAGAAAATACATAATAAAAATTCTCATAGTAATGAAGAGCCTTAAAATAAGATTTTTTGCTTTAAAAAATACCTTTTTGAAATATTTCTTAATAATTTCTATTATTTTTGTATATGTATACTTCAATATATGGCTTACCGAATAACTAACACTGGATTTTACATACATAAATATAGGGGAGAAGGGAATTACGGACGTGGACGACACTATTGCAATATATTAGTGATAATTTCATTTATCGTATCCAATGATAATACGATACATTCTTATTATAACACATGACTGTATAAAAAGTACACGCTATTCAAAATAAAGGCCCGTATTCAGATCGCCTTTACAACAATGTTATAGTTTACGCATACAGAATTTTAGAGATAAAAGCGCTTTCATCGATAAAAATGCGTTGTGAATACAGACTAAATATTATTATACATATATTTTCGATGATTTTGATGGATAGGAGAACGGAATAATTGCGAATATCTAAGGGAAAAAAAAATTATTTAAATTGATAATATATGACTGTTAATTATATATTGCAGTTTAAAGATAAAGAACTAGAGTATCTTTTGAATAGTGTTACATAATTAACAATTTTATTTAATTTTCCCTTAGGTGTCCTCAATTCCTACCCTTCTTTCTATGTACACACGCGCACACACACACATACACACACACACGCGCGCGCAGTGAGTGTATAGACATATATAAAAGAATCACCTTTTCAAGGAATGATTTTTTTTCTTACAGGAACTGCGTTTTCCTCGCCAAACTAATCTACCCAACCTGCAAATCGAGGAGCCAAAAAAAGGTTCGATAACGTTTCAAGGAACGCAGCCTCTGAGTGGCTCACAACGTCAACCAACTTGGAATCTCAACGCAAATGCCAATGTTTTTAACAAAGATCGCACAACTGCAGATGTTTACGGTGGATTGAATAAAGTACCTGGACAACGTGTACAGCCACACTTTGGCATCCAAGCTGAAAAGGATTTCGGCAAAAATGGCTTCATCAGAGGTCATACTGAATTTCAACAAGGTCCACATAGTCGTAGATTCTCTCCTTCAGTTGGTATAACTGGTGGCTTTCGATTTAAGAGAGAGGCTGAACCTCAAGATTCACTAGCAGATATTTATGGAGGATTAAATAAAGTACCTGGACAACGAGTGCAACCACATATCGGCATTCAAGCTGAGAGGAATTTTGGCAATGGTTTCATCAGAGGTAATGGTCAACTTCAACTGGGTCCAAGAGGTCACGGTGTCTCTCCTTCAGTTGGTATAACTGGTGGATTTCGATTCAGAAGAGAGGCTGAACCCCAAGGTTCAATAACTTTCCAAGGAACGCAACCTCTGAGCGGTCCAATGCGTCAACCTACCTGGGATCTCAACGTTAATCGTAACATTATGAACAATGGCCGCACAACCGCAGATATTTATGGAGGATTAAATAAAGTACCTGGACAACGAGTGCAACCACATATCGGCATTCAAGCTGAGAGGAATTTTGGCAATGGTTTCATCAGAGGTAATGGTCAACTTCAACTGGGTCCAAGAGGTCACGGTGTCTCTCCTTCAGTTGGTATAACTGGTGGATTTCGATTCAGAAGAGAGGCTGAACCCCAAGGTTCAATAACTTTCCAAGGAACGCAACCTCTGAGCGGTCCAATGCGTCAACCTACCTGGGATCTCAACGTTAATCGTAACATCGTGAACAATGGCCGCACAACCGCGGACGTCTACGGAGGATTGAATAAAGTACCGGGACAACGAGTGCAACCACACATCGGCATTCAAGCTGAGAGGAATTTTGGCAATGGTTTCATCAGAGGTAATGGTCAACTTCAACCGGGTCCAAGAGGTCACGGTGTCTCTCCTTCAGTTGGTATAACTGGTGGATTTCGATTCAGAAGAGAGGCTGAACCCCAAGGTTCAATAACTTTCCAAGGAACGCAACCTCTGAGCGGTCCAATGCGTCAACCTACCTGGGATCTCAACGTTAATCGTAACATTATGAACAATGGCCGCACAACCGCAGATATTTATGGAGGATTAAATAAAGTACCTGGACAACGAGTGCAACCACATATCGGCATTCAAGCTGAGAGGAATTTTGGCAATGGTTTCATCAGAGGTAATGGTCAACTTCAACCGGGTCCAAGAGGTCACGGTGTCTCTCCTTCAGTTGGTGTAACTGGTGGATTTCGATTCAGAAGAGAGGCTGAACCCCAAGGTTCAATAACTTTCCAAGGAACGCAACCTCTGAGCGGTCCAATGCGTCAACCTACCTGGGATCTCAACGTTAATCGTAACATTATGAACAATGGCCGCACAACCGCAGATATTTATGGAGGATTAAATAAAGTACCTGGACAACGAGTGCAACCACATATCGGCATTCAAGCTGAGAGGAATTTTGGCAATGGTTTCATCAGAGGTAATGGTCAACTTCAACTGGGTCCAAGAGGTCACGGTGTCTCTCCTTCAGTTGGTATAACTGGTGGATTTCGATTCAGAAGAGAGGCTGAACCCCAAGGTTCAATAACTTTCCAAGGAACGCAACCTCTGAGCGGTCCAATGCGTCAACCTACCTGGGATCTCAACGTTAATCGTAACATCATGAACAATGGCCGCACAACCGCAGATGTCTACGGAGGATTGAATAAAGTACCGGGACAACGAGTGCAACCACATATCGGCATTCAAGCTGAGAGGAATTTTGGCAATGGTTTCATCAGAGGTAATGGTCAACTTCAACTGGGTCCAAGAGGTCACGGTGTCTCTCCTTCAGTTGGTATAACTGGTGGATTTCGATTCAGAAGAGAGGCTGAACCCCAAGGTTCAATAACTTTCCAAGGAACGCAACCTCTGAGCGGTCCAATGCGTCAACCTACCTGGGATCTCAACGTTAATCGTAACATTATGAACAATGGCCGCACAACCGCAGATATTTATGGAGGATTAAATAAAGTACCTGGACAACGAGTGCAACCACATATCGGCATTCAAGCTGAGAGGAATTTTGGCAATGGTTTCATCAGAGGTAATGGTCAACTTCAACTGGGTCCAAGAGGTCACGGTGTCTCTCCTTCAGTTGGTATAACTGGTGGATTTCGATTCAGAAGAGAGGCTGAACCCCAAGGTTCAATAACTTTCCAAGGAACGCAACCTCTGAGCGGTCCAATGCGTCAACCTACCTGGGATCTCAACGTTAATCGTAACATTATGAACAATGGCCGCACAACCGCAGATATTTATGGAGGATTAAATAAAGTACCTGGACAACGAGTGCAACCACATATCGGCATTCAAGCTGAGAGGAATTTTGGCAATGGTTTCATCAGAGGTAATGGTCAACTTCAACTGGGTCCAAGAGGTCACGGTGTCTCTCCTTCAGTTGGTATAACTGGTGGATTTCGATTCAGAAGAGAGGCTGAACCCCAAGGTTCAATAACTTTCCAAGGAACGCAACCTCTGAGCGGTCCAATGCGTCAACCTACCTGGGATCTCAACGTTAATCGTAACATTATGAACAATGGCCGCACAACCGCAGATATTTATGGAGGATTAAATAAAGTACCTGGACAACGAGTGCAACCACATATCGGCATTCAAGCTGAGAGGAATTTTGGCAATGGTTTCATCAGAGGTAATGGTCAACTTCAACCGGGTCCAAGAGGTCACGGTGTCTCTCCTTCAGTTGGTATAACTGGTGGATTTCGATTCAGAAGAGAGGCTGAACCCCAAGGTTCAATAACTTTCCAAGGAACGCAACCTCTGAGCGGTCCAATGCGTCAACCTACCTGGGATCTCAACGTTAATCGTAACATTATGAACAATGGCCGCACAACCGCAGATATTTATGGAGGATTAAATAAAGTACCTGGACAACGAGTGCAACCACATATCGGCATTCAAGCTGAGAGGAATTTTGGCAATGGTTTCATCAGAGGTAATGGTCAACTTCAACTGGGTCCAAGAGGTCACGGTGTCTCTCCTTCAGTTGGTATAACTGGTGGATTTCGATTCAGAAGAGAGGCTGAACCCCAAGGTTCAATAACTTTCCAAGGAACGCAACCTCTGAGCGGTCCAATGCGTCAACCTACCTGGGATCTCAACGTTAATCGTAACATTATGAACAATGGCCGCACAACCGCAGATATTTATGGAGGATTAAATAAAGTACCTGGACAACGAGTGCAACCACATATCGGCATTCAAGCTGAGAGGAATTTTGGCAATGGTTTCATCAGAGGTAATGGTCAACTTCAACTGGGTCCAAGAGGTCACGGTGTCTCTCCTTCAGTTGGTATAACTGGTGGATTTCGATTCAGAAGAGAGGCTGAACCCCAAGGTTCAATAACTTTCCAAGGAACGCAACCTCTGAGCGGTCCAATGCGTCAACCTACCTGGGATCTCAACGTTAATCGTAACATTATGAACAATGGCCGCACAACCGCAGATATTTATGGAGGATTAAATAAAGTACCTGGACAACGAGTGCAACCACATATCGGCATTCAAGCTGAGAGGAATTTTGGCAATGGTTTCATCAGAGGTAATGGTCAACTTCAACTGGGTCCAAGAGGTCACGGTGTCTCTCCTTCAGTTGGTATAACTGGTGGATTTCGATTCAGAAGAGAGGCTGAACCCCAAGGTTCAATAACTTTCCAAGGAACGCAACCTCTGAGCGGTCCAATGCGTCAACCTACCTGGGATCTCAACGTTAATCGTAACATTATGAACAATGGCCGCACAACCGCAGATATTTATGGAGGATTAAATAAAGTACCTGGACAACGAGTGCAACCACATATCGGCATTCAAGCTGAGAGGAATTTTGGCAATGGTTTCATCAGAGGTAATGGTCAACTTCAACTGGGTCCAAGAGGTCACGGTGTCTCTCCTTCAGTTGGTATAACTGGTGGATTTCGATTCAGAAGAGAGGCTGAACCCCAAGGTTCAATAACTTTCCAAGGAACGCAACCTCTGAGCGGTCCAATGCGTCAACCTACCTGGGATCTCAACGTTAATCGTAACATTATGAACAATGGCCGCACAACCGCAGATATTTATGGAGGATTAAATAAAGTACCTGGACAACGAGTGCAACCACATATCGGCATTCAAGCTGAGAGGAATTTTGGCAATGGTTTCATCAGAGGTAATGGTCAACTTCAACCGGGTCCAAGAGGTCACGGTGTCTCTCCTTCAGTTGGTATAACTGGTGGATTTCGATTCAGAAGAGAGGCTGAACCCCAAGGTTCAATAACTTTCCAAGGAACGCAACCTCTGAGCGGTCCAATGCGTCAACCTACCTGGGATCTCAACGTTAATCGTAACATTATGAACAATGGCCGCACAACCGCAGATATTTATGGAGGATTAAATAAAGTACCTGGACAACGAGTGCAACCACATATCGGCATTCAAGCTGAGAGGAATTTTGGCAATGGTTTCATCAGAGGTAATGGTCAACTTCAACTGGGTCCAAGAGGTCACGGTGTCTCTCCTTCAGTTGGTATAACTGGTGGATTTCGATTCAGAAGAGAGGCTGAACCCCAAGGTTCAATAACTTTCCAAGGAACGCAACCTCTGAGCGGTCCAATGCGTCAACCTACCTGGGATCTCAACGTTAATCGTAACATTATGAACAATGGCCGCACAACCGCAGATATTTATGGAGGATTAAATAAAGTACCTGGACAACGAGTGCAACCACATATCGGCATTCAAGCTGAGAGGAATTTTGGCAATGGTTTCATCAGAGGTAATGGTCAACTTCAACTGGGTCCAAGAGGTCACGGTGTCTCTCCTTCAGTTGGTGTAACTGGTGGATTTCGATTCAGAAGAGAAGCTGAACCCCAAGGTTCAATAACTTTCCAAGGAACGCAACCTCTGAGCGGTCCAATGCGTCAACCTACCTGGGATCTCAACGTTAATCGTAACATTATGAACAATGGCCGCACAACCGCAGATATTTATGGAGGATTAAATAAAGTACCTGGACAACGAGTGCAACCACATATCGGCATTCAAGCTGAGAGGAATTTTGGCAATGGTTTCATCAGAGGTAATGGTCAACTTCAACTGGGTCCAAGAGGTCACGGTGTCTCTCCTTCAGTTGGTGTAACTGGTGGATTTCGATTCAGAAGAGAAGCTGAACCCCAAGGTTCAATAACTTTCCAAGGAACGCAACCTCTGAGCGGTCCAATGCGTCAACCTACCTGGGATCTCAACGTTAATCGTAACATCGTGAACAATGGCCGCACAACCGCAGATGTCTACGGAGGATTGAATAAAGTACCGGGACAACGAGTGCAACCACATATCGGCATTCAAGCTGAGAGGAATTTTGGCAATGGTTTCATCAGAGGTAATGGTCAACTTCAACTGGGTCCAAGAGGTCACGGTGTCTCTCCTTCAGTTGGTATAACTGGTGGATTTCGATTCAGAAGAGAGGCTGAACCCCAAGGTTCAATAACTTTCCAAGGAACGCAACCTCTGAGCGGTCCAATGCGTCAACCTACCTGGGATCTCAACGTTAATCGTAACATCGTGAACAATGGCCGCACAACCGCAGATGTCTACGGAGGATTGAATAAAGTACCGGGACAACGAGTGCAACCACATATCGGCATTCAAGCTGAGAGGAATTTTGGCAATGGTTTCATCAGAGGTAATGGTCAACTTCAACCGGGTCCAAGAGGTCACGGTGTCTCTCCTTCAGTTGGTGTAACTGGTGGATTTCGATTCAGAAGAGAAGCTGAACCCCAAGGTTCAATAACTTTCCAAGGAACGCAACCTCTGAGCGGTCCAATGCGTCAACCTACCTGGGATCTCAACGTTAATCGTAACATTATGAACAATGGCCGCACAACCGCAGATATTTATGGAGGATTAAATAAAGTACCTGGACAACGAGTGCAACCACATATCGGCATTCAAGCTGAGAGGAATTTTGGCAATGGTTTCATCAGAGGTAATGGTCAACTTCAACTGGGTCCAAGAGGTCACGGTGTCTCTCCTTCAGTTGGTGTAACTGGTGGATTTCGATTCAGAAGAGAGGCTGAACCCCAAGGTTCAATAACTTTCCAAGGAACGCAACCTCTGAGCGGTCCAATGCGTCAACCTACCTGGGATCTCAACGTTAATCGTAACATCGTGAACAATGGCCGCACAACCGCAGATGTCTACGGAGGATTGAATAAAGTACCGGGACAACGAGTGCAACCACATATCGGCATTCAAGCTGAGAGGAATTTTGGCAATGGTTTCATCAGAGGTAATGGTCAACTTCAACCGGGTCCAAGAGGTCACGGTGTCTCTCCTTCAGTTGGTATAACTGGTGGATTTCGATTCAGAAGAGAAGCCGAACCCCAAGGTTCAATAACTTTCCAAGGAACGCAACCTCTGAGCGGTCCAATGCGTCAACCTACCTGGGATCTCAATGTTAATCGTAACATCATGAACAATGGCCGCACAACCGCAGATGTCTATGGAGGATTGAATAAAATACCGGGACAACGAGTGCAACCACACATCGGCATTCAAGCTGAGAGAAATTTTGGCAATAATGGTTTCATCAGAGGTCATGGTCAACTTCAGCCGAGTCCAAGAGGTCACGGTGTCTCTCCTTCAGTTGGTATTACTGGTGGTTTTCGATTTAAAAGAGAAGCCGAAGATACTGATGAGATAGAACTCACCGAAAAGTATTAAAACAAATTTTGAGTTAACATTTAAATGATTTACATACAAATATATAGAAATTTATGCAAAACTGCCATTTAATTATCTTTAAATTGTAATGTTATAATTATTTATGTACTAAATATGTATTATATTATTACTATATATTATTTAGAGATTATGATATTTTGAACCTATTTTAAGAAATGTGTAATATATGTACATATATACACTTAAATGCGTGTATGTATATACATATATATATATATGAGATGTTTTATTTAAATAAATAAAATTTTGTTTTTATATTTATATGCGTATTATGTTCATTTTTCGAATATTTCAAGAGTATTTTTTATTTAAAAAATAAACAAGATCTAATTCCACGGAACGAATTTCTTCAGTTCTGCTACTTTTCTTTAATTCCAACTATTTACAAAGTAAACTGGTAATTATTATGGCCGAAAGATCTCGGCAAACACTTGACCGTATCAAATCGCGTCCAACGTCATCAAACGATATCGAATTTCGCGTGTTACTTAGCAGGTCCGAACGATGGGCAAACCCTTTCGCAAGGGATCTTTGAACACGACGATTAAACATTTTCGTCTGAACATCAGGAACGTGCAGTCATTCTGCACGTGGCCACTGCAACAATAGACAGATACAGGGGAAAGCGGGCGAGGTGCAGCCCCCGCTATCTAATAGTTGGGCATTAAATTTGTCAGTAATATTGCCAGGGGGAGTCGCTCTTGTCCTTGCCCTTTCCAGATCATGAATGGAGCGAGACAACTAAAATATGCCGCCGTTCGTGCTTTCATCCCCTCGTAATGTTGCGAGGGATACGGCTCGAATAAATGCCGAACAATGGAAAGGGAGATGTGAAGACACTGTTCGAATAAACCCTCACGCTTTGAGATGTTCTTTTTCGCCACATACACACCAGCAAAATTGATAATGATCCAACTACTTGGCGATAATAAAAATGATAACAGAAAAATATAATCCACCGGAAAAGACATAAAAAAGAGGCGTCAAGTATATTTTGCAATCCTACGCAAAATCATTTTAGAAATATACTTAAAAACATAACGAAAAAACTCATAAATTTTCGCAAAATTGTTTTATAAATTAATTTAAAAATATATGAAAAAATATCAAATATAATAGCAAAAGAAGTAAAATCAAAATGATATGAAAATAAACAAATAAAATAATAGCATAAAAAAGAAGTGAGGCTAAAATAGTATGTATATATAAGAAATATATTGCTGTATCCTAGAAGCTCCACTACTTTTGCTTCTCCCAGTGTGAGAACAGCTGAGTGACGGAAAATACGGATAAACAATTGAGTTGTCATTATATTTGGATGTTTCTGCTAAGGTTCTGTATTTATTGTATTTTCTCGCACAATAAAGTTATCGTTATGTCTTTTCTACATGAGAAATTATTCTTCAGCGCGAATGGGAGTGAACATTTTCACGAGACACGTGTGAGTTGGCTCACAAGTTCCGATATGAGTGATCATCGTTTGGATGCAACATTTTAATTCGCGACGAGCAATTTAAATGTCTCCTATACTCTACAGATGCGTAGATACAGATTCCATTTTATGTATGATACGCGTAATGCAATAACTGAACTGCCATAGTAATATTACAAATTAAATTGCTTTTGTAAATAGCAATTGTATTAATTAATGACAACTCGAGCGAAACTCAATTGTTTATTCATATTTTCCCTCATTTATTGTTAGTTGTTCCCACATTGGGAGAACCAAAAGTAGCGAAGCTCCGAGGACACAGCAATATGTTTCTTATATATTAATAAGCATATATACTACTTTGACCTCACTTCTTTTTCATGCTATTAATTTATTTGGTTATTTTCATATCATTTTGATTTCACAAATTAAATTGCTTAGCACTTGTAAGTCCAAAAAATCATTTCGGCGCGCAATTCGAGAGATTACATTATTCTGTGATAAATTCACATAAAATTATTTAAAGCACTTAAAATCCAACTTCGACCGATAGGAAAGAAGTATTCGACATCGCATGTAGAATGTGGAGTTTGTTCTCCTGTATGTGCAGCGTAAGAGTTTGTACGCCACACCGTTGCTCAAATTCGATAGCATCTTTCCATCCAGGTTAAATCGAATGTTTCTTTTAACTTCTATCAATGAAATATTATCAGTCACCAAGTATAGAATGGCTTTACGATCTACAAGAGGGCAGTCACACGTGAGACAGCCAGTTGCTCTGACAATTAATACAACGCAACGATAATGCCTCGACCAGACAAATAACGTTTTTCTCATGTGGAGAGTTATAAAATAGACATTTAGAACTACATTTGCATATTTCACTTACACGGTCTATTTTAATAATTGAATAATAATAATTAATTTAATAATTGAAGCAAGTCTGTATTTTAGTACGCTACATTTAAAAATTAACCTCATGAACCATATTGAAAAAGGAAATCTAACATGAAAGGCAGTATCAGCAAATTTAAGGCATATTGTGCGAGATGAAGAATATATTATCTTTCCATCAGCTTTGAAGCGTCTGTTGAGTCTAACTTTATTGTAAGATTTGTATAGAGATTTCTCACAATAAAAGTGTGTCAGGAAAGCAAATAGATATCTCCAAAATATAACAGGATAATGTTATTTAATAACTTTGATTTCCTCTCTTAAATTCAAACACAGTTTATTTTACTTATTTATTCATTACAAATTACAATGTATTAAAACGCGATACTTCGCGAAGAACGAGCTTATCGTACAAAACCGGAGAACGCCCGACCACTGTTCCTGAAATTATGTAAGTCCCTTACTAATCGTAATTGAAACTAAGTCTGAAACGCTGAAAAAATCGATGCTGTCGTGATACAGACAATTTAACTATTTCGATCGCGTGCTCGTTCTCACTGTTGCTTGCTCCGGCAATCGATTTTATCGCACGATATGGGACGCTGTAATTCGCCTTCTAGTGCGCGCACTTACTGATTGCACGCAGGAATGTTACAATACATGAGAACGCTTATCCCTGCCTTTACTAAATTTCTTACAATATCAACAATTTTATAGGGAGAGATAATGTATTGCTTAATATCAACTTCTTATTGCTTAATATCAATATCAACTTCTTGGAGGACATCTTTGATAATGCCTGATCTAAGCACACGGTATTGGGGAATAAAAGCCCTAAAATCATAGATATCTAATGTACAATTAATAATTAAATTATTAGCGACAGAAGGAGATTAAAATCCGATTAATATTTTACCGTGTCTTGTCTTCCTTATCTAAGTAAGAATTATCAGAGAAAGGAGAATTAACACAAATTGAAGCACACATATACAAAAATGATAATTACAAAAAAATGAAGAAAAATTAAAGAAAAGTGAAATAATAGGTGCAAACTAGCTAGCTCAGTTCCTGCTACCGCAAATAATAGAAGAGCACGTGTTTAAATATATTAAAGTGATTCAGAATTTCTGATGCAAGCAGAGAGCTAGTTCCAGAGAGAGGAGGCCGAACTTAGAAAGAAACATTGATAACTGATAGTTCTACAAGAGGGAACAACAAGGACGGAAGAGAAACCACGCAAGCAGTTACGAGAAAGCATGTATGAGCGGAAAAGAAGGAAAAGTAAGGAGGAGCTCCCGATTGGATAAAAAAGAGGAAAGCAGGTGAGATAAACTCTTCTATCATCTGCGGATAGCCAAGATGACAGAAGCTAAAAAACAGTAATGCTTGGAGACATGTTCACATCCCTGCGCAGATTTAAGATAAAACGCACGCAGGCGTTTATTAATCTTTTTAGCTTTGTTTTTTGCTGACCAGTTAAATCGGTGAGGATAGCCGCGCAGTAATTGAAGATGAGAAAAATCAGTGAAGTTACTATTTGGATGCGCAAGCGAATTGAAAGACAGTTCTTATGATATTTCAACTTCTACAAGACACTATTTACACAATTAGAAATATTTCTGACGTGTTCATTCCAAGATTCTCAAGATACTGGTAATACAGAGGCCGAAGAGAGAGAGAGAGAGAGAGAGAGAGAGAGAGAGAGAGAGAGAGAGAGACAACGTTTCCAGATGATTTTTTAATTATAGAAAAATATAAGGATTTGGGAAAGTAGAAATTTTAGCTTAGCTATCATTTAAAAAAATGAATATATAAGAATTTAAAAAATCTGAACATTTCACATTTTAAAAGACCTATAGGAGAATCTTCTTTTGCAAAATTTGTTTCAGAATAATTTTAGTATCCCATAAGAATTCTTTCAAGAAAAACTTGCGGATTTTAAATCTCAAGAAAATAACTTCGCAAAGAAGAGTGATCATTAACTCTGGCCTCCAAATCGACCCAGTTCAAAGCATCCTCGGTATAAAGTAGCGTTTATATTGCGGATCAAGCGATTACTTTAACGAGAGATTCGTCGGAGCAAAGAAAAAAAAGCCACGGTCCAGAGATGCTGCGAACCGCGTTTTTTGATAGATGGACAGCGATGATCTCTTGCTGGTACAGGAGTCTCACGAAAGAAGATTGCCAAGAATGTCGAAATAGCAAATTAGGAAATTCCAAGGGAATCCATTTCTCTTTCTCGTTCTCATGGTTTGTTTTTACTCTTATCCTTTCTTCATATAATTTTTCCAGGATATTAATAAATAATAATAAATCCACGCACACGCACGCACACAAAATAAAAGTCAAACGAAGAGATATTTACAAACGAGAGTTCATAAGCACTCTTCTAATATGAATAAAAAAACTTCTAATATTAATATAAAATTGAATCTCCATTAATTATTTCGGACTGGTATTAATTATAATCATAATTTTAATTGGGGGAGCATAAAAATTTTTGATGTAGAACCATCTTATAATACAAGATTAATATTAAAAATGGTGCATATAAAAAGACAATCTCAAGGTTTAAATAAATAAATCCATACGGAGTCTTTATCCGACATATATCTTACTATACTACATTTTCTGTCCCTTTCCTAATGCCTTTTCCGTATACCCTCCTCTTTTCATACTTTTCCTATCTAGTGTCTTATTCTCTCCTATCAAA